CCTTGCTGCCCCATTGGATGAGTTCTTCTTCAGGATTGATTTCTTTCTCCGAGAGGCTGCTGAGTGGAGTTGTCACAGCCTTGGTGTAGCCTGGTGTCCCAAATCGTTCTTGCAGCCGTTGAATGTACTTCTTTTGGTATAGTAGTAGCTTCTTCCCTTCTTGGTCCCGCTCCAGGTTCATGCCAAGGAACAACGTGGCTCTCGGAATCTGCTTCACTTGGAAGACAGCTGCAAGGTGAGCACACGCCTCCTCAACTCTGTCCTCCAAAGCTCCAGCCACCAATATGTCGTCGACGTAAAGTAGGAGGTAGACTTTCTCCTCCCCTTCCCCCTTCCAGTAAAATGCTCTCTCACATTGACTTTTCTTGAAACCTCCTTCGAGCAGGCGTGCATCCATAGCCTTGTACCACTCTCAAGGGCTTTGTTTCAGCCCATATAGCGCTTTCAGCAGTTTGCATTTTCTGTCAGTCCCGTCCTCCATTCCTGTAGGCTGATCCATGTAGATGTCTTCTTGGAGTTCTCCGTAGAGGAAAGCGTTCTTGATGTCAAGTTGAACCATGATGTAGTTGCGTGCTGCCACAATCTTGAGGAGTGTCCTTGCTGTAGTCAATTTGCTGACAGGGGCATATGTCTCCGTGTAGTCGATCCCCTCCACTTGTGTGTAACCTTTTGCCACCAGCCGTGCTTTGAACCTCTCAAGCTGCCCCTTATCCCCTGTTTTTATCTTGAAAATCCACTTGACGCCAACGGCGTGCCTCCCCTCGGGCATTTGGACGAGTTTCCATGTGCCTCTTTCGGCGAGAGCGTCCAACTCCTCTTGTATAGCCGCTTTCCACTGCTCCTTGTACGGTCCAGAAAGTGCTTCCTCGATGGTCAAAGGTTCTTGTGGCAGGTTGTAAGTCTCTCTCCTTTCCTTGGTGATCAACGCGGTCGCCGTCGAGGTGAGGAGGAGGTGAGTGTGCACGTCTTTCAAGCATATCATTAAAACCTGTTGGTATTTTGGATTCGGCTTCTTCGTCCGCATCCCTCTTCCCAGCTCCTCTCCTTTCACCGAAGCATCACTTGCACACGTGCCTGCTTCTATCTCCCCTGCTTTCTCCGTGCTTGTGCCTCCTTCCTCTCTCCCAATAAGAATAGCACCATCCTGCAGCAAGTTGTCGATCTCTGCTGCTCCTTTGTCATTGTTGCTTGTCTCGAAAAATTCCCATGGGTCGCTTTTTCCTTCAGTACTTGGCTGCTCTGCTTTTTCAGCTTCATCCTCTCCAATGTCTTCATCTTTGTCGCTCGCTGATTTTGGCAGGAGTGGGGTTGTAGGAGTCTCTTCCATGTCACCGTTGTTGAGCGTCTCCTCAGTTGGCTCCCACACCCAATCCACTCCAGGTTGGGTATGTTCCTCCTCATCTTCTTCCCCTTCATTGTTTGCTGTCCCCAGGCCTTCGTTTTGGGCAACTTCAAGTAGTTCCTCCGCTTGTTGAGGTGTGGCAGGAGCTGTTCCCGGAGTTGTGCCCTTGTTGCTTGCCTTCCATTCCACGTAGTTGAGATTTTCGTAGAATGTCACATCCCTGGTCGCCAACACGATTCCAGTCTCCACGTCTTTGATAATCCAGCCTTTGCTCTCTGGGCATGTTCCCAAGTGCACCCCCCACCGTGCTTTTGGCAGGAGTTTGTGATCAGCTCCAGCAGGGGGCCTGTACTGCGTCATACAGCCCCATACTTGAAGAAATTTCAGGTTAGGCTTCCGTTTGTAGAATGCTTCATGAGGGGTCATGTCAGTTGCAAGTCCTCTTGTTGGTAGGCGATTTTTCAGCCAGCAGGCCATGCCTAGCGCGTCCCCCCAGTAGGTCAAAGGTAACTTGCTGTCCGCCAGCATGCTCCGCACGCTATTGAGCAACGTCCTATTCACCCGCTCCGCAATGCTGTTGTGTTGGGGGGTGTGGGGAATGATACGCTGCCGTCGTATTCCCTTGGCTTTGAGGTAGTCGTTGAAGTCCTTGTTGATGAATTCCCCACCGTTGTCGGTTCAGAGAACTTTCAGCTGCTTGCCACTTTGTCTTTCAGCTTCCGCCAACCAATCAATGAAACTCGGTAAAACTTGCGTTTTGTCTTTGATCTCCATCACCCATGTGAGTCTTGTGCCGATGTCCGTGAATGTAATGAAGTATCTGCTGCCATGTCGTGATGTGACCCTCATTGGACCGCATACGTCCGCTGCCACCACTTCCATTGCCCCGCGCCTGGTTGGCAGTTTTACCACCCCAGCTCGCGCCGTGTCCTGCCCTCTCAGGACGTCACGTTTCATGAGTTAGTTCCCTTTTACCGTCTCTTCCCCTACCGCACTGCCCCTCTCCCCCCCCGCCGCTCTTGTGAAGATGAGCAGTAGAAGAAGGCGCCATAGCTAGGAAAGCCCTAGCTAGGCAAGAAACAGTTTAGGCAAAGAAGGAGAGAGTTGCACTAGCAAGAATGAGGATACAAATAGCAAACCCTAGAAGGGTTGTACTCGCTATAGAGCACCCCACTACAGGCTAGAGCATAATATTCTGACAGCTCTTCCTCGCTCCAGGTCCCCCTCCAGTAGCTCCCCTCCCCCCTCATGGTTCTGCTCCCTCAGGTGTGTCTCAGGTAGACCCACTCCCCTTGATTGGTACTTTGCCAAGATCAGCAAGAGTCACAGCTTTTGAGTCATATGAGGGCTGAAAATCCTTGAGAATGGACTGATAGGGAGTCATGGTTTCAGAGCAGCCACTATCAAGAATAAACTCCTCACTACTAGTAGAGAAAACGTGCATGCAAGTAGCAGCGTTAAAAAGGACAGGACCATCGGACTCTTTGGACTCATCTTGACTTGTAGAATGACTTGCTATATTTGCTATGGCTGCCTTACCTTTTTCAGATAGTAGCTGAGGTGGGGGGACCCAATTAGGAGGCTTCTTAGGACAAGCATACCACGGGTGACCCCACTCATGACAACAAAAACACTCAAAATTAAACTTTTTAGCATTGGGGGCTTGGCTGAAATTATTGACTCTTGGCATATTGACTCTTGCATTCCTAGGCTGGTATTGATTGGGAATCGAAGGCCTTGGCTGGACATAGTGACTGGACTTATAGGGAGGACTTGACTGAGGAAAACGAGAGGGTTTGTATGGGTTGGAAGGTGACTGAAATTTCGTACCGTAGTAGGGTTGAGGGCGGTTTGGGCTGAAATTTCCTTGCCTCTGGAATTGGTTGCCATATCTTGTGGCTGCTGCAGCACTCCACGCACCTTCGTCACTCCGCTTGTTCCGTGCAAGGTCTCGACTCTGCTGCTCGTTGACAAGGGCCTCAAAGATGAACGCACGACTCTTCATTGACTGCGGGAGCGCTTGTAGTGTTGCACGGAAAGTGTCCCACTCCGGTGTAAGGCCGGTGAGGATGACGGTCTTGAAAAGAGACTCTGGAATCTCCAAGCCGATCGCTGCTGCTTCCTCCAGCATTGCTTCAGCTCGTTGTAGGTAGGCTTGTGCTGATTCATCTTCTTCCATCTTCAGATTCATGAAGCGGCTCCACATCTCGGCTTGGCTGCTCTCGGATTTTGACTGGTGCATAGTCTTCAGTCGGCTCCATGCTTCCTCTGCACTGTTTGCCTTGGTAGAACAGGGCAGGAGCGACTTCAACTGCTGCTCGTGAATGCTATTGAGTAGGTAGAGGAAGGCCTCCTTGTTGCGTCGTTCGTAAAGTCGTTTTTCAGCTTCTGAAGCATCTGCTGCTGGTTTGGCTGCTTCTCCAGTGTAGTAAGGCCACAGATCCAGAAGGGATGCAGTGAGCTCAAACTGAGTTGCCCATGTTGGAAAATCTTTGCCGTTGAACTTGGGGAGGTGAAGCTTAGGCATGAAGGAGGTGAGTGGTGAGTATGTTGTTGAAGGACTGCCTGGTGCAACTGCTTCCACTAATCCAATAGCTGCTGATGTTGACTCTGAAGCTCCTCCGGCTGGCTGGAGTGCAGGACCAGATGGATTGTCTCCCGCCATGTTCGTATGGTGCTAGGATAGGAACGTGGTGGGCTAGGTTGATCGAAACGACAAGCTCTGATACCAACTTGTAAAACAGAGTAGCTGTGACTACTGGAGGGCTGGAAACTTGGCTGGAAAGTCTTAGCAGGGCTGCTGGAATTGACTGGATGAGGTAAAACTTCACTATGTTCAAGATTAACAAGCCCACTAAAGCACAACTCTATAGGCATCACAAACAAGACAGATTGAAAGCTCAAACTAGGCTGATAGACAATGTAACTTCCCTGGTAACTTGGGCACAATCTAGATTGGATGGACCTTGAGTGACTTTGAGTGCCACATGAGGTGCATGAATAAGAAAACTCTGGATATTTCTGTTATAGCTGATTCTGATGTGTAGAAACCTGTAGAAACTGCCAACACTTGGGTTTGAAGGCAGCTTTGAACTATATCGAGTCTTCGGCTGAAATCTGATTGGTGGTGGAACTTTCGAAGTACTTCCCGAAGCTCTGATTCATCGCCGACATTCCCCCTTGCTGCTGCTTGTGTGCAAAGGGCTGGGGCGGCAGAAACTCGATTCTCCAACACTCCCTTCTCTTCCTCCTGAAACCCTCGTTTTCACCAGCTCTTCCTCACGATCTCTCACCTGGCTCCTCCCACCGTCAGAAACTCAATTTCCAGCCTATTCTTTCCCACCGCCATATGTAAGGCATTTTCCATACGTCCCTTTTGTCGTTTTTTCGCTCTTGAAGTCGGTGCAGCGGCGAAACCACTTCTAACACCGCTAGGGTGTATACGCCGCAATTTCCGTACTCAAATCAAGAAAACCTCAATCTGCATTCGGAGCAGCAACGGCGGCACTCCGAGTCGCTCACGCAGTCTGACTTTGACGCTTTGAGGACGCTTGACTTTGTTGACCTTCGGTATACTCACAATCCACTAACGGGTAGCACACGTGACGAAGCAGCGCGGTTGTTGTAGTGTTCTTCAATCGCCATCAAATCTAGTCGGATGACACCCCCCGACTGCTCTTGCTCGTCCGCGTTATCAGGGATTATTTTCCTCTGCGGCGCCGTCGTCTTAACCTTCCTCTTCTTCGTCGTCCTCGCGCTGCTGGAGCACTGCTGCTGCTGCTGCTGCCCAGATTCCACCATCCAGGTGCCCACCGTCCTCGTCATTGACGGTGTTCCCGAGGGCTCGCCAGCGCGCGCGAGGGAAGGGGAAGCGGGACGCGGGGTAGGGGGAACAAGGGGGAAAGGGTTGCGGGTGGAAGAGATCGCTCAGCACAGCGATTTGATTCGTTACAGTGAGGTGAAGGAGGAGCGGAGATTAGAAGAGAGGGGGTTGCTAGTGGTTGAGATAGGCGAGACGGCGGAGGGAGAGCAGGCGGGGGGGAGTGAGAATTTGCGTGCAGGGAGGAAGGGCGGTGCTAAGGCAGCGTGTGAGGGGGAGGAGCAGCGAGGGGCGGATAGAGAAGCGGACACAGCAAGAGCAGCAGCGGTGGTGAAAACACAGGGTAGTCACAGCGCTGACTGGCGACGAGACGAGAGTGGTCCGTGTGAGCGTCTTGTGAAGGCGCAGCACGGGAGGCATGGTGAGAAGGCGTGTGCAGCGCGGGAGGAAGAAGCAGAAGAGACAGAAGCAGGAGGAGGAGGAGGAGGAGGAGGAGGAGGAGGAGGAGGAGGAGGAGGAGGAGGAGGAGGACGGGGCGGAGTGCGGAGCGGAAGAGCACAGGGGGGAGAAGAAGGAGAGGGAGGCGTGGAGGGGTTGTCAGGTGCATTGGCGGTGGATTGCTTGGTGTGCTTGACGGAGTTCAGAGAGGAGGAGCAAGTGAGACGACTGCACTGCTGCACCCACATGTTCCACAAGGTTCTGCCATGCTGCTCTCCACATGCCTTCTCTTCCACATGGCACGCGCACACACACACACACACTTGCATACACACACACACACACACATACACACACTTGCACTCACGCACGCGTGCACACACGCACCTCACTTACGTACAGACAAACGCACGTGCGCGTGCTCTCGTGCCCGCACACACGCACATACCCACTCACGCATGCACGCTCTTGGTCCTGTCCATCTCGTGCCCTCTCTGCCTGCCTCCCTATCTCCATTCTCCGCTCTTTTGTTATGTCTCATTCGCCTCCCATGCCTGCTTCTCACCGCTTTCCACATGCTTTCACCCTGCTGTGTCCTTTACCAGGAGTGCATAGACGGATGGCTGCAAGCCCACACCTTGTGCCCTTTGTGTCGGGCATCAGTAGTGCCATCAAAACAACATCACCAGTGCATAGTGCAACAAGTGTAGATACAGATGTAGATGCCTTTAGGTCGTTACCGGGAGGGAAATTGTGCTAGTTCGCAAAAATTGTCCCATGCACGAGAGCATAGGACATATTTCCTCCTGGCACAACAAATTTACAATTTGTTAAACTATTATGTTTTGTAGGCTGTTGTGGGGTAGCACATATGGGGTACAGCCCAATTAGGGTTTGCTACTTGTACCCCTGCATGCTGTTAGTTTCACCATTCTCGCTTAGTATTCTGACATGGTTTCAGAGCAGGGCCTGTTCCATGACCGTTTTTTTTAGGGCCCACCGAATAGTTCCCTGCCTGTAGTGCGTTACCGTCAGCCTCCGGATAGAAGCGCCCTTGGGGGTGTAAAGAAGCACTGTTTTTTAGGGGGTGCGCTTATATTTGAGGGTTTTTATAAGCGCCGGGGCTTATATAATGACATATATGAAATCTAGTTTTTTTACACTAAAGTGTTCATCTCGTCCTTGCGATTTGAATCGAATCGATATTGTAGAGGACATCGAATGTGAATTTCGCGTAAATCGGCAGTGGCTGATTCCCTGCCAACACACACAGTCAGAATGAGTCAGATTGACCCCATGGCAGCTCATTTTGACTGGACGCGAAGGCATTGAGTCACGCGAAGGGGAAGGGTTTCGAAATTCTGAATGTGGGGATGCAATATTGTGTTTCGTTACAGCGTTTCAAGTAAAAATATAAAGAATATTACAGAGGGTGGCGCTTATAATCCGTAAGCCTTCAGGGGTGCGCTTATAATCGAGGACCGGATATAAGCGCCCTCATCCTTTTATAAGCGACGGCGCTTATCCGAGGCCTGCGCTTCTATCCGGGGGCTTACGGTACCCAGTTCGTAGCGCCCTACCCTGCCCCATCAGTCGCGCTGCCCTGCCGTGCCCGTGCGCCGTCCTGCTAGCTGCCGCGCCGTCCTACCCTGCCCGCGCGCCACCTTGCTGGCTGCCGCGCCGCCCTGCCCTGCCCGTCGCGCCGCCCTGCTGGCCGCGCGCCTACTTGCCCTGCCTGTCGCGTCGCCCTAGGACCCGCACGACGCCCTACCCTGCCCGTCGCGTCGCCCTAGGACCCGCGCGACGCCCTGCCCTGCCGTCGCGTGCCCTAGGATTCGCGCGACGCCCTGCCCTGCCCGTCGCGTCGCCCTAGGGACCGCGCGCCGCCCCTGCCCTACCCGTCGCGTCACCCTAAAGCCCGCGCGCCGCCCCCTTTTCTGCCCGCGCGCCGCCCCCTTGCAGCCCGCGCGCCTCCCTACTGGCCGCGCGCCGCCATTGCCTGCCCGCGCGCCGCCCTGCTGCCCGCGCTCTGCCCTGCCCCTGCTCGTCGCGTCCGCCCTAGCAGCCCGCGCGCCGCCCTCTGCAGCCCGCGCGCTGCCCTTGCCTTGTGATAATGAGAACGAGAATGGGTGAACTATGAAAATGAAGTGAGTACAAATATGAAACCCTAATTGGTTGTACCCCCTATGGGATACCCCACTATAGCCTACACAACAGCATAAGCTATAATGTTCTGACACACCCCCATAGGCAAAGTGGGGGAGAACAAGGGGTCACAAGACCAGTCAAGCAAAGCAAAGCAAAGCAAGCTCAGGGTGGATCACAAAGTCACCACACAGTCCGAGCACAGGGTCAAGGCCACACGGCCAGTTCACATGCAAGAGTACACACATATATATAAAGCTAGACAAGCAAGAGCAGGTATATATATATGTGAGAGTACAAGCAAGGTCAAGAGGAGAGCAAGTGAGGCAAGACGGGCACAAGACCCAGCTGAGTGCAGAAGCGCTGATGATCACAAGGCGGAAGTGCCTTGGTGAAGACATCAGCAGTGTTGGCCTCAGAGGCCACGTACGCAAGCCGCAACTGTCCACGTTGCTGTAGCTCACGAGCAAGGAAGTAGCGGAGAGCAATGTGCTTTGTTCTGTGCTCCAGTCGCTGCTCTCGACACAAGGCCAGCATGGCCTTGTTGTCTACGTACAGGACTGGAGGAGAACGAGGCGGCTCTCCAAGGTCGGTCAGCAGGTAGGTGAGCCAGCGAAGCTCCTGTGCAGCCATGGCCCCGGCGTAGATCTCAGCCTCACAACTCGAGCCAAGAACAGAAGACGAGCGAGTAGCCCGCCACGAAACAGAGCCGGAACCAAGGCTGAAGGTGTAACCCTGTGACGACCGCTGCGTAGCCTGGTCGTCAGCCCAAGAAGCGTCCGCGTGCCCAGTGAGGACCACTGGACTCCGCCCTCCAAGCACTAGCCCCATGCCCGAAGTACTGCACAAGTAGCGCAACACCCTCTTCGCTGCAGCCATGTGCTCTGGTCTGTGTCTCCCAGGAGCAACATAGCGTGCAAGAATGCTAAGAGGGTATGCAAGGTCAGGTCGTGTGCAGGTCATCAGGTACATGAGGCAGCCAACAAGCTCTGGGTACGGGCCACTCGACTCTACGGACTCATCCGAAGGCAGAGCTGAGAGCGAGTGGCGAGTAGACAGAGGAGTGGCCTGAGGCGAGGAGTACGTGAAGCCAAAGCGCTGAAGGACCTGCTGCACCATGTGTGACTGAGTCAGGGTAATGGTGCGGCGTGCTCTGTCCCGGGTGATCTGCAAGCCAAGGTAGCTGCGCAGTTCACCCAGGTCTGTGCACGTGTGTCTCTTCTGCAGCTCGGACTTCACGTAGGCGAGTCCAGCAGTGTCAGCTGTGGCAAAGACCAAGTCGTCGACGTACACGAGGATGTAGAACGGCGGCAGAGAGGTGTCGGTGCGTAGAAACAGCGACGGGTCGGCAGTAGAAGGAGCAAACCCAAGAGCCGGAAGCGTAGTCCTCAGTGTGTCGTGCCACTCACGTGGCGCCTGGCGGAGACCGTAGACTGGACGCCGGAGACTCCACTGGGTACCAGGAGGGAAAGACCCAGTGAAGCCAGGTGGGCGACGCAGCCAGATCTCCTCGTGCAGGCTGCCCTGCAAGAAAGCTGTGCTGAAGTCAAGAGAGTGCAGCTCGTAGTCACGGTGAGCAGCAACGTGTAGCAGTACCCGAAGAGTGGTCATCTTCGGGGTGGGGGAGAAGGTCTGAAAGTAGTCAACTCCCTGCCGCTGACTGAAGCCACGAGCCACGTAACGCGCCTTGAAGACAGGCGGAGAACCCGGCGGCCGCTTCACCCTGAAGATCCACATGCCACTGACGATGTTCGCCCCAGGAGGGGGGACAGCGTCAACGTAGGTGCCTGTGGACTTCCAGGAAGCCATCTCTGCATCCATAGCTGCCTGCCACTGAGAGGAGTAGGGACCCTCTATCGCCTCCGCGTAAGAGCGCGGAGTCGGGATGTCAAGTGCATCCGGGTCTCCCTCAGGGGTAAGCAGTACGGACACGAGATGAGGTGAGGCAGCTGCCAGACACTGGAACTCCTCCTGCCTGTCCTCAAGGACGTCCGTGCCAAGGGCACACTCACCCCCGACGGACGGAGGACAGACAGACTCAGACTCAGCGACAAGACTAGCAGTGTAGTCTAAGCGACAGCGAGCAGCAAAGTCGACGAGCTCAGTAACGAGAGCAGACGCAGCAGTAGACTCGAAAGAAGGGTCAGTGACAACAGTAGCAAGGAGACGCGTGACAGTAGGACTGGCAGCACGAAGAGAGTCCGACTCCGGGTCGGGAAGAGCAGGAAGAGAGGACTCAGGAGGAGAAGGCAAAGGGGCACGCAGAGGAGCAGTGGACGGACGCAGAGACATCCGGTGCGTGCCAGGGACAGGAGGAGGACGCTGACGCGAACCGCGACCACTAGTGCGAGCAGCACGGACAGGCGACGCAGGGCGAGACGCAGGCTCACGACGCTCAGCCAGACCTCCAGTAGGACCAGTGTAGGGAGAAGGAGCAGGCAAAGGGGAGGTAGGCTGCAACTGTAGCTGGGACGAGACAGGCTGTGGACACTCTAAGGGAGGAGGAGGACCAGTAGAAGGTGGAAGACCAAGAACCTGCTGCAGGAGTGGAACGAAGTACGGTCGAGGCCGCGCGGCGACGCTAGAAGCAGCAGGGACAGCACCAGAACCCTCAGCAGGAGCACCCGCTCCAGCAGCACCACCAGTAGCTCCAGAACCTCCAGCAGCACCACTGCCAGGCATGGCAGAGTAGTGTGTATGCAGTTGAGCAGGGAAACGATATACATGAGCACAGCAAACTAGAGATGTCGTGGCTGATGCATGAGAAGGCGTGTGATCCACTCCATGTCGTGCTGCAGACAGAACCTCAGAATTGGCTTCCAGCTGGACATTGCAGACCACCACACACCACACGACACCGCACCACGCCGCTCCACACCACGCCGCACCACACCACGCCGCACCACACCATGCGACAGGCTTTGCGATGTCACAGCTGATCCGGGGCCTCCGCGAGCGCATCCTGCGCGCTGGTTCCTGGGAGCAGCGCTAGAGCAACGATGCTAGTTAGGACCGCGGCGAGGCACGCCGCTTGAAGGGTAGAACGCGGCCCGCCACGCGCCATGGCGATGAGAGACGGGATTAGCGGACAGCTGGCGCTGCACGCTGAACCGTCGCTTGGACTAGTAGGCTGGTAGCGGTGCAGCCTGCGATGGCGGACTGAGGAAGAGCGTGCGAGCGATGAAAGGCGTGAGGGGTCGGGAGGGCAAGGAGGAAACTCGTGTGGAGCTACTGGGCGAGACATGGTGAAGGGAGGGAATAGAGGCGTATATGTAGTGAGAAAGCGGCTCGTTCTGCAAAGGGATACTCCCGAGTGAGGAGGGGAAGGGAGAGAGAACGCGAGTGCAGTCAATCTGCTGACGACCCCATGGCGGATGAGTCGGCGCTGATGATTGGACGATGCAGCATTTTGCGGGTACGCGACATCTCGAGCTATTGCATCGCTGTTGAGTAACCACTACGCAGACTGCTGGAGGCAGTCCTAGCGACGAGGTACTTGGTCAAAACATGATTGACGGCCATAACTTGATGCTCTAAGTGTTGGTGATGCTCTGAACAACATGTG